GCGAGTTAGGCAATAACAATAACTTTCCTCGCTGGCCTTTGAGTATTTTTCGATAAGTGGGTGACACTAGCCAACTTTTTGCTGCCTTGAAGTTGAGATATATCTAGGCAACTTCAACGTTTAAAAGAGAGGTTCAGTGCTTCTTTATTTTGCATGTGGTCTGAGATTTGCAGAATTTGGAGAGAGATATGCAAACCCTCAAGGGATCCAGAGCTATTCTGGGAAGCGGACACCAACCAGATGCAACCCAATAAAACAAAATCTCCCTGAACACGAGGGAAACGAGAAGTTATGTCACGTTCGCGAGTAGCGCTGTTCAACAGGGCAGATATCAGTCTATCTTATTAGAACTTCTGTGCTTGGATTTTGCCGGTGTGGAGGCAACACTTGTAGTGCTGGTTGAAAAAGACAGTCTGACGCCCACCGTACCACCTTGTGACCACTCCGTAGGAACTCGGGACTAACACATGCTGAAAGCGGACAAATATTCTGACATATAACTAGATCAAGCAAGTTCTCACCCCTTGTCGGTTTAGTGGTAAAGTGCTTCCATCCGAATATGTCTAACGTACTAAGAAAACTATCGTGTCTAGCGAGGCAAGTATACGTGTCCCATTTAATTTCCAGTAGATTAAAGTCTCCACGTGAAATCTTGTGGTCATACTGGAGAGGGGATGGGTGTTAAAGCTAATCATTGAGCAAGGACTCGTTTCCAGGGAATATCTCAGGTACTGTGTACATGCAACCAACCAGTACCGTTGCATCTTTGCAGCACGCTGTGGTCGACAGGGGGTTTTAGCTTCACTAAGCGCTACATTTTTCAGCCTGAATACGTTCAGGGTGCTTAGAAAGTATATTAGGCAGGCACCTCCTCTCTTATTGATCCAGTGGCATCTAAAATGTGTGTACTTGTGTATACTTGGCATCATCTGATATGCTATCATGACACCATGACTGTGTGGTTATTATAATAGGCGGCTTGAACAGGGCCGGTGTCGCTCTTAGTATTAGTAGTTTGCGATAACGGACATGGCACTGATGAAGATGGTTGATAGGTATGAATAGTAGAAATGCGTAAACTCTTCAAGATCGGTGAAAGGGGTCATAGATATGTCAGGTCCCCATGTTTGAGTATGATCTGACACCGTAGGACACGGGCTACCATTATTTACAGTTTCAGTAAGGAAAAGGTGAGGACAGGTGAACCGCTTAATTCACCTGGAACGTGGCATGGAAGTGGGGTAGGGAATTGTTTTGAAGCTTCATCTGCGTCTGAGTACGGGTATGTTAGACAAGCGGCGTCTTTTCTGTGTGTTGGCGGGTTAGTTGAGCGTAGCTCATCTAGGCCTGGATTTAAAGTGCCAACGATAGTCACACTCTCCAGAACCTCTGCGCCTATCATTGCAGATAGGGTACGTGGGCTGAATATGAGCCGGGAAAAACGGTTGTTGTATGGGAGGTTATTCAGTGACCTAGTATTGGGAGGACAGCCAAGTTATCCGGGAGCAATAATATTGTCTGAGAAATAGCATTTCCTCAGCTTACTTTAGTTGAAAGGGCCACCTCGAATATTACCGGCCCCATTGTAGCTCGTGTGTCCTACAAAGTTGCAACCATGTAAGTTAGACATGTGTGGTTGGTCATAAGTACTTCAACCGTAGATGTTGGTATCCGGTATGTAGGAAGAAAGGGGTATTTGAGGAGGGTGATCTAGTGGATAGTGTGCCATATGTTCATTCATGTATGATCTGGAATGTGGGCGTGGAGGTCTACCTACTGGGTAATTTGGATTTCCAAACATAGGCTTGAGATGTGTGTCTTCTGGGCAGAGGTTCGCTGGAGAGTTCGCCCGCTATTCACGTGCTGATATGGCCACATAATACTTTTGTCAAGGTCAACAGTTTTATTGCCACCACATGCAGTCATCAGTATAACTATCAGGTGTCAGCAAAATGATTTGAGGTTGGTTTGTCTGGATACACAAGGCATTTAGGCAATCGGTGGCTGTAGAACGGCTGATTTTAGACGATTCAGGTTGTGAGTCTACGCTACTTCTGTAGGTTCGCCGTTGGTTAACAGTCTTCTCTGACACTATTTTATCTTTTCGAGGTTTAGTTGTGAGAATGACAGTGTCACAAGAACTAATAAAATTGGTAGCAGTTTGTCGAAACGAAATAGAGCTGGGTAGCAGTATTTTTGGTGTTTTTTCAAGAACCCAAAACAACATCATAAGAAATGTCATACATGTTTGCAGCGTTAAGAAGTACTTTCCTTGCGGTATTTACGGGCATTTGATCTGGGACTTTGCGTACCACTACCCCTTGGTCAGCTGCTATTCACTTTGCGACTTCGAATGAGGTGTAGTTGATTGCTTTCCCCCCCTTGCGCAAGGTATCGGGCTCCGTCTCGACTTCTTCTCCAGTATCTGCGGGGTCTTGTTGAATTTGGCGGTCAGCAGCTTTAAAGGCACGACGTCCTGCATATCTCGCACTGTCTTCGCTGTTGACTAGAATTGTCTCAACCAAGAGGATCTTAAGGCGGAGTTCGTTCATTTGCAGCTGTAGGTCTTGGATTCTTTCCCTAAGTTCGGAGACAGTTGGGAGTTCCTTATTGGGGGTTGGCAATTTAGATTTGACTCTCCCCACAACACTTGGTGGATCTGTTACAGATTTCATCTGCGTGTAAATGCCATCTACTGTGGTTTTAAGATAAAGACCAACTTCGGCTGCTGGGCTTATCACCGGGCTGCTCGTCAGAACACCTTTCAGTCTCAACATCGGTGCTATGCCCAATTGCGCACCAATGTAATTATTGCCGGAACTCACACTGGCTTCGTCCGGTAACGAGAGCGGTTTAGGAGTGGTTTTCCACTACTATGGATTTCGCTGGGGCTTTTGCGAGAGCTTCCCTTTGAGTCCCGACCCAATGGAACTTCTCTTCGTTAGAGTGGAGTCAGGAAACTATGATCAGTTGAATATGGTAAGTGGCACGGGGAAGATTCGTGCTACTGACGAGTTATGAATGCCTGCACAACAACTCGCCCAGGCCACAAAGAAGTTTCAAAAGCACGGAGTTAGGAAATTATGTGCTACATAAACACCACTGATGAAAAAGAGTGCTAAATAACGGCGTAAAACAGCGCATTAATAAACTGAAAGTAGCTGTATGAACGTAACGCAAGTCACGAACCTGTTACGCATGACCCTCGGCGGCCCGCCGCCACTGTGATGTCCCGTGTCTCAGGGGGCATCCATAAGTGCCTTTGCAGCAGTACGGGGAGCCTAAGAGGTAGCATGGTGGAACCACTATCCTTTTGTTCCTACCTTGATCCGGAGGTTGTATTACTGACGGAAAGCTGGTTATCGTGGGATATTAGCCACATCGAAGCTACTATAGATCGTATGTCTCTTTTCGGGAGAGACAGGAAACAGGATGAAGCGGGTGGAGTGGTAATGTTCATGAGCAGCCATCTCAAAAAGAAGAAGCCGCCGAAACCCTGCTGTCAGGGCTCTCAGACTCCTTCTGGTGCCACTTCACAACCGGGCACACTAGGTACTCAGTCGGAGAGCCAATCGAAACTTTGCCGGCAACGTGAGCCAGAACCGACATACGTCATAAGCAATGTTCGCAGCGACGGCTACGCGGCATAACCAGATAAGTGTAGCGGGGGATTTTAATGCTGCAACTCTCAGCCTTGGGCGGGACAGGACATTTTCAGGCCGGAAGCCCTACTGGGACCTACTTAACACCATCGAAAGGCTGGGCTGCAGTAGAGTGTTGAGGATGACTCTTGCTGAGAGTCGGGAGGAAAGGCGTCCAGACTGGGCCATCTCCTTACAAACGACTGTCTGCTGGCAGGAAGAGTTCAGCTTCCAACCTCTTTCTACGTCAGCGATTACGGTAAGGTAGTGTTTGATCTTGTAATCAGGGAAAATTATCATGGGTGGGATCTTGCCCTTGCTTTTGCTGCAGCAAGAAAAACTAGATGGCGATGAAGCAAGATTCTGTTGGCGGAAGCCTGGCCTGTGGAGTAGAGTGCCTTATCGATTGACTGACACCGGGAACTAGTGAGGGCCATCAATAAGAGTGGCATCTAGGAATACCCACCAGTGATCATAGCGATACCAAAGAAGCAAACCTCATAGGTGAAAAAGGCACTGAACGCCCCTTGAAAGCCAATAGGAAAACACGGCATCAATGGGCGATCTCCAGAGGAGGGTCGAATCACAGGGTATATGTGGCTCATAGAAAACGAGTCAACATCAAAGTCAGGGCGGATATGAAGTCATTCCAGATAAACCCTGCCCAGAAGCTTGGGGTGAATGCCGAAAATCTATATCGACTCGTGGCGGAGAGGAAGACTACTAGCCAAGGAGCTCGCGTTATGAAGGGTCCGAGGAGGGGGAACCTATCTGGACTGGATAATATGTACACCATTGGTGTTGCCCTTAACACACAACTCGACACTCCGTTATCCACACAAAACCACCAACTACCTGACCAACCTTCAGCACCACTTAGTGTAAGATAGTTGTATGGGATAAAGATAACCCCTGCCATAGTCCTCGAAAATCGGCCAAAGCTCCACGCAAGAAAAACGCCAGGATGCGACGACATTCGGCCGTATGTGTCGAAGCAAAGGGTGGTTAGTTCATATGGTTCACTCTGCAGTCTGTTTCAATACTCCCTAGACAAACACATGCTTCCACAAGAGTGGGGACGTGGTATTCTGTCTCGCATTTTCAAGGGAGGAGGTAGGCAGGACGCGAACTCATGTCGACTTATAGTCATTCTACCAGTGTTAAGTATGAGGCAGGGGTCGAAATGATTCGGACGATGTAGCCTGGATTACTTCTTAATGAAGATCTTTTCAGGGTTTAACAAATCTTGGGAGATAGAAGTTTCATCCGGTATCTAACCTGCTATATTCTAGGTTTCGTTTCTGGATTTGTCCCGCCTCTACTATTGATGATATGACTAAGGTTCTATAAGAGATGGCGTGAGTGTACAATGTCACAGAATCTTCGTACAACGTTACGAGCACGTAGACTGGAGTCAGACAGTTCCAGAATATTAGTAGAATAAAAGACACACGAATTTACGCTATCGTCACCTTTTGCGAAACGACTTCAATAAAGAATAAGTTGCATTTCCACCAATAGTTTAATAGTCCAGTGACCTACAAGTGCGTCAACACCACTTTAAATGTATGGCCTTAACTGAGTGCCCTTTTATGGTAATTTGGTGTCTTACCTCATCATGGTTTACTTCGTCTAGGAATGTCGCGAAATAGCGAAGTATGCTTTAACTGGTCCTCCAGACTGGTTTTCACCGAATGTGTTAGCGGTCACTAGTTGGCAGGTTCTTAACGATGGAGGGCGAGCATTTGTGGCATACTCTTCAAAACCTTATGTGCACATATTCATCATTAGAGAAGAAGGAAATTCAGAGAAAAAACAGCACTTTACCTGGTCCTTTGTGGGCCAGATACAACCCCATCATGAGAAAACGTCCGCTATAACCTTTGATGAGCTTTTGTGTTTGGTGTCCTGCGGTTACGATGGTTTGGTTCGGCGTTGGAAGTATTTCCATCAAGACTGGGTCCTGGAAAGCGAGTTCAATGTGCATAGTGTGCGGGAAAATGTGAATCCTACAGCAGTTAGTTCGTTTTCGTATTCGAGTCAGTCGTACAACTTCATTGGGACAAATAAAGGTTTACTTATAATTTGGATTGTTGACTTCGAAAAGAGTAAATCTCATTGCATGTCGAAAAAATATGAAAACGACTCTGTGGTTGTTTGTGCATGGGATAGGTCAGTAGTAACACCATTCGTAATGCGAGTTGCTGTAGGTTACACGAAAGGACTAGTAGGTGTTTATACATTCAAACCATCCGAAGTATCTTCAGCGTCAAGCTTTTCCCAGCTAGCACGATTTTATGCTCATGAGAGGGATATCTGCAGTGTTGTGTGGAGGACAAGTACTTCAGATTCACTGGTAAACTCATCTGAGCTTCTTACATCTGCACGGGATCTAGTTGTTAAGGTGAGCAATCGTGTATCTTTGGCTGTTTCCTTCTATGTTGGTTTTTTTCATTTGTTGTTATTGTTTAGTTATAAATGAAAGTTTCCTGGTGAAAAAACAATTTTACCTTTTATTTCCTTCGTTTTTTTCATATCCAACGGTGTTATCATTCGTTTCCTCACATGACTGACTGCCAAAATCAACTTATGACCTCGCACACAGGCGCATTAGCTCAAGTTGTCACACTTCATAGTAGTACACAAAAAACGGGTTGATAGGGAAAGTGATATCAAAAAAATAATAATAAAATAGCGTTAGGGAATAAACAATCCGAAGGTAAAGGTTAGGGCGAATATTCAAGCTGCAAAATGTCATCTACGCCACTGTGACCGGTTTTCAGCCATTTCGCCTACAGTCCTCAATCACTAGTTCCTTTCGCCTCAGAGACCCCAACCAGGCAGTCTACATCACTCCACTCCACACGACTTGGACCAACAGCCAGACTTCATCGACTGGTATGAGATCTTGGTCTGACCACCCTGAACCTCCCAACCTAATTCAATATCTCCCAGCATGGCACTGCGAGGTAGGTGGTGGCTTGGTATGTGGAGTATGTATCCAAGCCATCTTAACCAATGAAGGTTCACAACCTCATCAGTCGACTTGCCTGTCGTGCGTAGTACCCTTTTCCTGACTTCGGCATTGCTCATATTGGGATTCTACCAAACGCGAGCAATGCTGCGAAGACGCCTATGATCAAAATCCTGTAACCGCTTCATGTCTTCTACTTTTAACGGTCATGACAGCTGTACAACAGGACACAACGGACTGCAGCGCAATGTAGTAGTCTTCTGATAGGTAGTTGGTTATCGCACCAGCACCATAGATGATACAAGTTGGCAAATGCCAAACGGGCCTCCGATCTTGGACACTATTGGTCAAACTAGCTCCCCTATGGTTGTTACAAGAAGATCTCCCTTTTTATGGACTAGGTTCATCAGTGAAGTGCACCAGTCTGATGGAACTACATCTGACTTTCATACACCACCTACTACCTCCATCACTCTAACCATCAATTTCCTACCTTCACCTTTGAAAACCTCAGGTGGCAAACTGTCAGTTCCTGCCTCTTTGCATCGTTGTAGATTCAATACAGCCTTCTCAACTTCAAGGAAAGTTGGTGAACCGGCATCTACATTCCATTCGTATTCACACTGGGTGCTGTGCAACGGAAGCGTTAAAGAGGGCAGTTGAACTGTGCTGCCCAACGTTTTAACCGCCTGTCCTGGGGGATTATCAGCTTTTCCTCCTTTTCGTTGATGGTTTCACTCACCGTCTTTTTCCTACCAGTTTTCGTATTAAGCCTAAACAGTTAACGAGTGTTACACAATTCTGATGCATTCGCCATCTCTCTTGCTTTCTCCACCCACCACTGCTCATGATCGATACGAACACGTTTGGTCAGTTTACGCTTGAGCTGCGTTTGCTCTTCATCGTGGTCAGAACCAGCTGGAATTAGTCTTCTCGCATTCGTCAGTTAGGATGACGTCGCGAAAATCCAATGACGCTTGCTAACTTGCGGGTGTACATTACTGATTGCTTTTATTACTGTTTCTGCAGCGAACTTAATATCACACTAGGTTAGGGTTAGGGTTGCGCATTCTTGTCATGTTCAGGTAAATGCTTAGTTAACTCTAAATGCATACTTCAAGTTCTCATCTTCCAATGGCGACTACAAGATTCGGTGTCACCTTTTATCTGCGACTGGTAAGGTTTTGTTTTATTGGGTTGCATCTGGTTGGTGTCCGCTTCCCAGAATAGCTCTGGATCCCTTTGTGGGCCAGATACAACCCCATCATGAGAAAACGTCCGCTATAACCTTTGATGAGCTTTTGTGTTTGGTGTCCTGCGGTTACGATGGTTTGGTTCGGCGTTGGAAGTATTTCCATCAAGACTGGGTCCTGGAAAGCGAGTTCAATGTGCATAGTGTGCGGGAAAATGTGAATCCTACAGCAGTTAGTTCGTTTTCGTATTCGAGTCAGTCGTACAACTTCATTGGGACAAATAAAGGTTTACTTATAATTTGGATTGTTGACTTCGAAAAGAGTAAATCTCATTGCATGTCGAAAAAATATGAAAACGACTCTGTGGTTGTTTGTGCATGGGATAGGTCAGTAGTAACACCATTCGTAATGCGAGTTGCTGTAGGTTACACGAAAGGACTAGTAGGTGTTTATACATTCAAACCATCCGAAGTATCTTCAGCGTCAAGCTTTTCCCAGCTAGCACGATTTTATGCTCATGAGAGGGATATCTGCAGTGTTGTGTGGAGGACAAGTACTTCAGATTCACTGGTAAACTCATCTGAGCTTCTTACATCTGCACGGGATCTAGTTGTTAAGGTGAGCAATCGTGTATCTTTGGCTGTTTCCTTCTATGTTGGTTTTTTTCATTTGTTGTTATTGTTTAGTTATAAATGAAAGTTTCCTGGTGAAAAAACAATTTTACCTTTTATTTCCTTCGTTTTTTTCATATCCAACGGTGTTATCATTCGTTTCCTCACATGACTGACTGCCAAAATCAACTTATGACCTCGCACACAGGCGCATTAGCTCAAGTTGTCACACTTCATAGTAGTACACAAAAAACGGGTTGATAGGGAAAGTGATATCAAAAAAATAATAATAAAATAGCGTTAGGGAATAAACAATCCGAAGGTAAAGGTTAGGGCGAATATTCAAGCTGCAAAATGTCATCTACGCCACTGTGACCGGTTTTCAGCCATTTCGCCTACAGTCCTCAATCACTAGTTCCTTTCGCCTCAGAGACCCCAACCAGGCAGTCTACATCACTCCACTCCACACGACTTGGACCAACAGCCAGACTTCATCGACTGGTATGAGATCTTGGTCTGACCACCCTGAACCTCCCAACCTAATTCAATATCTCCCAGCATGGCACTGCGAGGTAGGTGGTGGCTTGGTATGTGGAGTATGTATCCAAGCCATCTTAACCAATGAAGGTTCACAACCTCATCAGTCGACTTGCCTGTCGTGCGTAGTACCCTTTTCCTGACTTCGGCATTGCTCATATTGGGATTCTACCAAACGCGAGCAATGCTGCGAAGACGCCTATGATCAAAATCCTGTAACCGCTTCATGTCTTCTACTTTTAACGGTCATGACAGCTGTACAACAGGACACAACGGACTGCAGCGCAATGTAGTAGTCTTCTGATAGGTAGTTGGTTATCGCACCAGCACCATAGATGATACAAGTTGGCAAATGCCAAACGGGCCTCCGATCTTGGACACTATTGGTCAAACTAGCTCCCCTATGGTTGTTACAAGAAGATCTCCCTTTTTATGGACTAGGTTCATCAGTGAAGTGCACCAGTCTGATGGAACTACATCTGACTTTCATACACCACCTACTACCTCCATCACTCTAACCATCAATTTCCTACCTTCACCTTTGAAAACCTCAGGTGGCAAACTGTCAGTTCCTGCCTCTTTGCATCGTTGTAGATTCAATACAGCCTTCTCAACTTCAAGGAAAGTTAGTGAACCGGCATCTACATTCCATTCGTATTCACACTGGGTGCTGTGCAACGGAAGCGTTAAAGAGGGCAGTTGAACTGTGCTGCCCAACGTTTTAACCGCCTGTCCTGGGGGATTATCAGCTTTTCCTCCTTTTCGTTGATGGTTTCACTCACCGTCTTTTTCCTACCAGTTTTCGTATTAAGCCTAAACAGTTAACGAGTGTTACACAATTCTGATGCATTCGCCATCTCTCTTGCTTTCTCCACCCACCACTGCTCATGATCGATACGAACACGTTTGGTCAGTTTACGCTTGAGCTGCGTTTGCTCTTCATCGTGGTCAGAACCAGCTGGAATTAGTCTTCTCGCATTCGTCAGTTAGGATGACGTCGCGAAAATCCAATGACGCTTGCTAACTTGCGGGTGTACATTACTGATTGCTTTTATTACTGTTTCTGCAGCGAACTTAATATCACACTAGGTTAGGGTTAGGGTTGCGCATTCTTGTCATGTTCAGGTAAATGCTTAGTTAACTCTAAATGCATACTTCAAGTTCTCATCTTCCAATGGCGACTACAAGATTCGGTGTCACCTTTTATCTGCGACTGGTAAGGTTTTGTTTTATTGGGTTGCATCTGGTTGGTGTCCGCTTCCCAGAATAGCTCTGGATCCCTTTGTGGGCCAGATACAACCCCATCATGAGAAAACGTCCGCTATAACCTTTGATGAGCTTTTGTGTTTGGTGTCCTGCGGTTACGATGGTTTGGTTCGGCGTTGGAAGTATTTCCATCAAGACTGGGTCCTGGAAAGCGAGTTCAATGTGCATAGTGTGCGGGAAAATGTGAATCCTACAGCAGTTAGTTCGTTTTCGTATTCGAGTCAGTCGTACAACTTCATTGGGACAAATAAAGGTTTACTTATAATTTGGATTGTTGACTTCGAAAAGAGTAAATCTCATTGCATGTCGAAAAAATATGAAAACGACTCTGTGGTTGTTTGTGCATGGGATAGGTCAGTAGTAACACCATTCGTAATGCGAGTTGCTGTAGGTTACACGAAAGGACTAGTAGGTGTTTATACATTCAAACCATCCGAAGTATCTTCAGCGTCAAGCTTTTCCCAGCTAGCACGATTTTATGCTCATGAGAGGGATATCTGCAGTGTTGTGTGGAGGACAAGTACTTCAGATTCACTGGTAAACTCATCTGAGCTTCTTACATCTGCACGGGATCTAGTTGTTAAGGTGAGCAATCGTGTATCTTTGGCTGTTTCCTTCTATGTTGGTTTTTTTCATTTGTTGTTATTGTTTAGTTATAAATGAAAGTTTCCTGGTGAAAAAACAATTTTACCTTTTATTTCCTTCGTTTTTTTCATATCCAACGGTGTTATCATTCGTTTCCTCACATGACTGACTGCCAAAATCAACTTATGACCTCGCACACAGGCGCATTAGCTCAAGTTGTCACACTTCATAGTAGTACACAAAAAACGGGTTGATAGGGAAAGTGATATCAAAAAAATAATAATAAAATAGCGTTAGGGAATAAACAATCCGAAGGTAAAGGTTAGGGCGAATATTCAAGCTGCAAAATGTCATCTACGCCACTGTGACCGGTTTTCAGCCATTTCGCCTACAGTCCTCAATCACTAGTTCCTTTCGCCTCAGAGACCCCAACCAGGCAGTCTACATCACTCCACTCCACACGACTTGGACCAACAGCCAGACTTCATCGACTGGTATGAGATCTTGGTCTGACCACCCTGAACCTCCCAACCTAATTCAATATCTCCCAGCATGGCACTGCGAGGTAGGTGGTGGCTTGGTATGTGGAGTATGTATCCAAGCCATCTTAACCAATGAAGGTTCACAACCTCATCAGTCGACTTGCCTGTCGTGCGTAGTACCCTTTTCCTGACTTCGGCATTGCTCATATTGGGATTCTACCAAACGCGAGCAATGCTGCGAAGACGCCTATGATCAAAATCCTGTAACCGCTTCATGTCTTCTACTTTTAACGGTCATGACAGCTGTACAACAGGACACAACGGACTGCAGCGCAATGTAGTAGTCTTCTGATAGGTAGTTGGTTATCGCACCAGCACCATAGATGATACAAGTTGGCAAATGCCAAACGGGCCTCCGATCTTGGACACTATTGGTCAAACTAGCTCCCCTATGGTTGTTACAAGAAGATCTCCCTTTTTATGGACTAGGTTCATCAGTGAAGTGCACCAGTCTGATGGAACTACATCTGACTTTCATACACCACCTACTACCTCCATCACTCTAACCATCAATTTCCTACCTTCACCTTTGAAAACCTCAGGTGGCAAACTGTCAGTTCCTGCCTCTTTGCATCGTTGTAGATTCAATACAGCCTTCTCAACTTCAAGGAAAGTTAGTGAACCGGCATCTACATTCCATTCGTATTCACACTGGGTGCTGTGCAACGGAAGCGTTAAAGAGGGCAGTTGAACTGTGCTGCCCAACGTTTTAACCGCCTGTCCTGGGGGATTATCAGCTTTTCCTCCTTTTCGTTGATGGTTTCACTCACCGTCTTTTTCCTACCAGTTTTCGTATTAAGCCTAAACAGTTAACGAGTGTTACACAATTCTGATGCATTCGCCATCTCTCTTGCTTTCTCCACCCACCACTGCTCATGATCGATACGAACACGTTTGGTCAGTTTACGCTTGAGCTGCGTTTGCTCTTCATCGTGGTCAGAACCAGCTGGAATTAGTCTTCTCGCATTCGTCAGTTAGGATGACGTCGCGAAAATCCAATGACGCTTGCTAACTTGCGGGTGTACATTACTGATTGCTTTTATTACTGTTTCTGCAGCGAACTTAATATCACACTAGGTTAGGGTTAGGGTTGCGCATTCTTGTCATGTTCAGGTAAATGCTTAGTTAACTCTAAATGCATACTTCAAGTTCTCATCTTCCAATGGCGACTACAAGATTCGGTGTCACCTTTTATCTGCGACTGGTAAGGTTTTGTTTTATTGGGTTGCATCTGGTTGGTGTCCGCTTCCCAGAATAGCTCTGGATCCCTTGAGGGTTTGCATATCTCTCTCCAAATTCTGCAAATCTCAGACCACATGCAAAATAAAGAAGCACTGAACCTCTCTTTTAAACGTTGAAGTTGCCTAGATATATCTCAACTTCAAGGCAGCAAAAAGTTGGCTAGTGTCACCCACTTATCGAAAAATACTCAAAGGCCAGCGAGGAAAGTTATTGTTATTGCCTAACTCGCGACTCTGTCGAAGTTAACTGATATCTAACATCTGTTATCATTCAACTCGTTAGTTAGTTGTCTAACATTATTTATATTCTTAACACCTCTTGCTTGCTTTTCTGAGAATGAAAACAAGTGTCAGTAGCCTTTGTAGAAATAAGAGTATGAGCGCGGGAAGGCTAAAATTATCTGATCTATTGCCTACGGTTAAAAGTCCCACCAGCGACTGCAGTCCGTCACTTAAGTTACCCGATCTCATGTCTACGGCGATTTCAATGAAGTTATGTCCTATATTCTGGAAATCTTGCAAGCAGTTGAGAATTTGCAGCGTAAGATGGAATATACCCTGCCACTGATGGACTAATGTTACGAATATATTATTTTTCCCTTAGCCCCCTGATTAAACATGGAGCTTCAGAAGCACGTCTCTATTCCACTCTCTTTTCTGCAGTCTTATCAACATGGCTCCACAACTACCCACAACCTTTCATTTCCTTCTCACGCCATCTCCTCAATGTCACCCTCGGACGACCAACCCATCGTTTCCTCTTTCGATTCCATTCGAGTACCTGGACTGGCGGGTGATGTCTCCGAATGGTTTTCTCAGTGTATACCCAGTCCAATCCATCTACACTTTCCCCTGCATATCTGCTGGGCGGTAGGTTCTTGGTTGGTTCGTTGTCAGCCAACCAGCCAGCCAGAGTTCCTTGTTGCTTATTCTTATTATTCTGGCCATCCATCTGATCTTCAGTGTCAGTATCGAGTGAACGTAGGCGGCAGCTGTTCATGTGATGTATGTCTACTGTTTGTTGGAAATGCTTTTCGTAGCGCGCCAAGTCTCTCAATCATCACATAGAAGCACTGACTTACTTGACTGAATTAGTGTCTAAAATCTGGATCTTGTTCACGCTTCATGCTGAGTGGAGTGCAGTAGATCTCGACACTGATTATTTCAGATTAATGAAAGCCTGTCTTGCTGTCTTTCCGATCCTGTCTTCGACGTCCTCATCTGTGCCGCCACCGCCCGCAGTTGAAAGAGACTAGTTCCTTTAGATTTCTCCCTTTGGTGGTGATCGGTGCTTGCTGTTGTTAGTTGGGTATCTTCATGACCTCCGTCCTCTCCATGTTTACTTGAAGTCCCGTCTTCACTGCGTCACCTCTTCTGTCAACTTGTTGGTTTTCGCCTGTAAACCTTCAAGCTTGTGCGACATTGGACATAAATCATCATCGGCGAAATCCAAATCTTCTAGGGTCTTTCCATCTGTCAGACAGCGTATGTCCCTTTTCTCGCTCCTCACAGTTGTCTGCTGCATGATCCAGTCCAGCCGACCAAAATCAGGAAGACCATCGGTGATAGTAGGTGGCAACCTTGTCCTACTCCTTCCTGCCTTCACTTCAAAGGGGCCACTGAGATTTCCATTGTAAATCACTTGACATGTAACATCATATAGCATATAGTTACTGTTGAGTGAGGTTGATAGAGGCTTGTGGTACTAAACCGGTAGTGTTGGAGCAACTGCCAAATTACTTCTCGGTCGACGTTGTCGAAGGCCGTTTCAAAGTCGATGAAGTTGAGGTAGAGAGGTGACGGCCATTCTACACTCCGTTCTATGATGATGCGTAGCGTTGCGATTTGATCCCCATATGGTTTGTTCTTTCTGAAGCCAGGTAGCCAGCCTGTTCCAGCCTTAATTTTGAATGCAGCGCATTGTTTAGTCTCTGCAGGAGGATGCGGCTTAATATTTTGATGGGGGTGGACAAGAGCATGATTCCGCACCAGTTCTTGCAAAGACTTAGGTCTCCCTTCTTTGGAAGTTTGACAAGGTAGCTCTTCTTCCTAGCAATAGGCGGATACCTTTCCTTCCTTCCAAACCTTTTGCGATAGTGGTGTGCGCATGTCCGCTGATGTCTTTGCGTCTATTTTCAGTTTTTCTGGTGGAATTCCGTGTGGTCCTGCTGCTTTCCCGGGCTTCAGCAACTTTATGGGGTTCACGGCTTCGGCTTTTGTCAGAGGGCTTGTGTTCACTGGTAATTCTGTGGCTGGGCGGCTGGTGGTATTTCTGGACCAGTTGGAGGTGGTGGTCGATTCAAGAGTTTTTTGAAGTGGTCGGTCCATTGTTTCCTTTGTTTCTCCTCTTTGCTAACTAAGTTTATTTCACTATCACTGGCTTCGTCTGCGTTGATCTCTTCCCAGATAGTAACCTGGTTATTTGATATGATGTTGTCAGGTCACTCCTACAGGCAGCCTGTTCTGCTTCGCTTGCCAGTGTGTCGTAGAGGTGTCTTTTGTGTTTGCGCGCACTCTTCTTCACTTCTTTTTTCAGTGTCTTATAGGTTGTGTTTAGTTCCTCTTTTCGTTGTTTATCCTTGCACTGCACTGCACTGCACTACACTGCACTGGTTCATCTTCTGCTTCACCATCCTCCTCTCCCTGCTTTATCAGCTTCCATATGGAAATCCGTCGAGATCCATTCCTTGTCTTGTCCTGCTTCTTCCTTCCTAACACGGTTATGCAGCTTTCCTTCCACATAGCTCTCAAGGAGTTCCAGTGTTCCTCCACGCAGTTTCCTTCAGGGATGTTGTTCAGTGTCTCCCATTTTGTCCTGATAACTGATTGACGTGAAGATGTCCTTCGGTTCAGTTTCTGTTCTGGGTGTTTAACGTGAACTGTGATCTGTCGTCACCATCTTCCTTGAAGGCTTTCAGCTTGAATTTGAAGGTAGGTTCCTTGCACTAGATAGTGGTGTGAGTAGTGTGAATCTACATCTGCTCCCCCTCTTGATCTGATCTTGCATCCAGTAGGCTGGCTGCGTCTCCACTTTCTTCACATTGATATGAAGTCAATCTGACTTTTAGTGTAGTGTGTCATGGTGTCTGGTGAAACCAAATCCATGGCGCATTGTGAATATCCTTGTGTTTGTACACAGTGCCTCCAATCACCAAATCATTCACCGAGTGCTTCTCAACCCATGATCAGTTCTCTTCCTCTTCCTGTGTTGTTTGCTCCTAGTCTGGCATTCATGTCACCCCACCCATTAGAATTTTGATGTCGCCAACTGTGGTGGGGTCTTGTCCAGTAGTGATTGCAGTTGTTTGCGGAATTCCTCCTTCTTCTCTTGATCTACATTATTTGTAGGTGCGTAGTGTAGCATTGCATGATTGTGACTTTCCTTCCCTTTGAGTTGAATGCATCTTGCTGTGATGATCCTCACCCTGGAGGAGGAGATTGGTTCCCACTGCATGAGAGAAAGCCTTCGATGCTGTTGGGAGGGGACATGATGATAGCCACTCCTCCTTCAGTGTGCTTGTGGTTGACGTGTGGGTGACAATATCGGAGTAGATTATTGACTGTGCAGTTGACAGTTTGGAGAGTTCACTTCCATTCCATCTTCAGGTTCATCGCAGATTCCAAGCACTACTATGCCGTACCTCCTCACCTCTTTTGCAATCTGAGCAGCCTTGGTGGGTTCATACATGGTGCGGACATTCTACATCCCCAGCCTTACTTTCGCCTTCATCGAGAGAAGACACATCGGCCAGTTGGCTTCCCGAAGGCAGGGTTTTGCCAACCGGCGTCATTTTGTCTCTCTGACTCTAGCAAGGAATAAGTTTGTTTTTGTTTTTTATAATTTCTTTGTGCTTTGAAGTTTGTTAGCCCTATGCCCAACCTTCCCTCTTTATACGTGCTTAGGGCCGACTAGTAACTGGTGAACTAGTTAATCAGGCGAGGTAAATGAAATGACCTTACTTATAAATGTTAAAGTGTACTTTTTCTTTTCTTTTCATTTTGTTCCCCTTTTTCGCACCACTACTAAATTCACATTGAAGTCTTAATTGACCGCCTTCAACCTCCAGTATCATATAACCTTGCTGTCCTTTTTTGTTTTTCAGTCATTGACCTACTTATTCTGTCTATCTGTCTGAACACGTTTTTGCATTGTCGTGTTTTGTCATTATGAACATTCGTATTAACGTTTTTAGAATCCGTATTTCTTGTTGTTGTTCTACAAATTACCTTGACTATTTGATATTTTACAAATACGTTGAAAGTTATGTATATCGGAGTGAAGCCTGCCTGATGCGATCTAATTGAAAACTATGTTGTTCGCTTACATGTCGTGTTATAATTTTCATAATGGGAATTTTTAGTTCCTTGAGTTCGTCAATCCAACACACAACTACGTACTGAGATTTGAGCGAATCTCTTCGTGCTAAGAATTTTATGCATAAACATATCGCTTTAGTAATTTATTTATATGTACTGCAAAACTTCCTACCTACCTAAATAAAAGTTTGATCTGGTTTTTGTGAACAGGTGTGGGATGTCTCCATATTAGAGTGCTGTTTTTCTACTAAAGTTCCTGGTCAATCGCATCATCACTCATCTGAGTCTGGACGACATACTAACCAGAAAAAGAATGTTACTGGAGCGCCGTGGATAGTTGCCTGTTACACGATAGGAAATCATTCTTCGGGGGATGTTTTATTTTCAGGTTTTCGAGGTGAATTATTCCATTGGCGTTGTGGCGAAACACCGATTAGTTTATCAATCAAGGATCAAGGACATTCGATGTTGGTTTTCTCTATACAGTATCTGCTTAATTCTCCTGGTTTGGTAATCACAATCAGTCAAGACAGGAATTTGATTATTTGGCAATTATTGGAAGGATCTAGCCCAACAGTAGTTCTTAGATTTCCTACACTTTCTGCCGGTGTGTCTTCTCTAGCCCAGTCTGCATTCAGTAATAGTCCTTTGGTTGCAGGGCTTTCTGATGGTTCTATCCTGTTTTGGAAAATTTACTCTCTAGATATGTGTAGTGATAGGAATTCTTTTGATCATCAAAGCAAAGACAAGTATATTTCAATATCGCCTCGTGGCTCTCAATCATCAGCCATAACTGCTCTTTCCTGGCATCCTTTACCACAGTATGAAAATATCATCGCTTATGGTACCGAGTCAGGTTGTGTGGAAATTGTAGATGTTAATAAACTGCAGAAAATACAAAACCAAAAGCCGAAACCACAGTTATGTGCATTTGGCTCAACTGTATATCGAGTTACTTGGGGGCCTTTATTATTCACTGGCTTATCTTCTAGAAAGGGTAATAAAAGTGAAAAAACTGCTGATGAAAATGATCTGAAATGTGAAAATCAAAATGTCCCAGTGAATACAACTACACATGAAAATGAGAAAGTCAATGACCAGCGTGAAAGTTCAACTAGATTTCCTTTCTACCTTTACAGTATAAGTAAGGGAAAGATTTATTGTCATTTTGGAAGTAGTCGTGCACCAGTTGACATTAGCACAAAGTTCCCGTCCCCACCAGATACCACAATTGAAGACTGGAAGACACTGATTCGTAGTGATATATCATTCCGCTCTGTCAGTAAAACTAATTCATTGGCAGTTGATCCAATTGCCGATACTTTTGATTGTTTAGTAAGTGTTGGCTATCTTTCTGGTCAAGTTGATGTTTATGGCTTTTCACAGTCAAAAATTGCAAGTGATGAACAAGCATCTGAACAACTTGTTTTTGTTTGTCGTATTGTGAATCATTCCAAATGTGTTAATTGTTTAGCTTGGTCAAGGGAATATTACTGGCTTGCTATTGCTTCAAATGAGTTTTTCATTACCATCAGTGATCTTAAGATACAACTGACTAGTGCTGTTAACCAAGAACAGTATTGTAAACCTGTACAGCTTTCTACTTGCTTGGCTAGATTAGAAGGTCATTACAACAGAATCACTTGTCTGGATTGGTCTCCACATGATCCGTTTCTCTTACTATCCTGCTCTTTCGATGGTACAGCTAATGTATGGAGTATTCATCCTGATAATATTGAAAAAAATAGCTTATCAATATCTAATTTTCGTGCACACCGTTCACGTCTTTTCACTTGTTTATGGAGTCGCCAAGATCCTGATCTTGTTTTTAGTGGGGGTGAATTATGTCATTTATTCGGTTGGCAACCGTCTAAACAACTCTTTAACCAGCCACCTCAAAGTCGTCGATATCGTCCGCCAACTATCAAGAAACCTGTGAATAGTCAAGAAATAATATACAATGGTGATGTTTCATGTGAAAATCCTTCAACAACAATAGAATCTTTACATGATTCTAAACTCTCAGAAGAAAAGGAATTAGAACAAGAAGTCATGGTGTCGGCTGGCTATGTATCTAGTGTTGTATCTCAAAAAGAAAAGCCCATTCTGTTGGATTGTAATTCATCTCAAAAAATCAATTCTAATAGAAAGCCAGAAAAAAGAAAAAGGCCTGCTCTATTTCCTAATTTATTCCAATTCAGTAATTCCAAGCATTGTGAATTAGATTTGAATCACTCTCCACCTATTCATTTGGGATCTTTTCTTTCACAAATTTTAAATGTCTCTGATTTTATAATGGAGCGAATGAATAATGAGAAATTGCAAATTGATTTGTTAGTTCTTATACCAGAAGTCAGTATTACTCGAACATGCCTTTTAAAGTATTTGAAAATGGAAGCATCTAATCATTTGGAGTTATTTCAAACTGGTCAACGTCCTAATAGTCTAGTCCATTTAGATGCATATTGTATTCTACTATTATGGATCGGTTATGTTCCTATGATAGCGTCTATAATATCATCAGAAAATCATATGCCTTTTTGGTTATTGTATGCAGTTCAACTTGCTCAGTCTACTTTTGCTTATCCACAATATTGTAGTGAATTAGTTTCATCAGAAGAAAATTCAAGCAGTGTGGAAATCGACTTACTAGGTGAAAAGGTTAGTAAATGTTTCTACATGAATTGTAAATATGTGTGTAATATGTAATTACGTCGTATACTCCTCACCATTGAAAGAGTACAGATGTATGATGTGATGAGCTCAGTAACTAGATTATGAGTTGTCCACTTGGAAGGGTGTCATACTTATTGTGTAATAGTAAACAGTAATATTGTATTGATTGAATGAAAGTAAATAATGTGGTTATTAAATCCTAGTATTACAACTAAGAGGTGCATTTATCAACCGTTGACTAAGGTACAGTTTCACGTAAAAATGTTGATAGAAAATACCATGCAGAGGAAATGTCTTGTGTTTTGTTCTACGGGTTATCATTTTCAGTAACTTACAATATACTGAAATAAGTGTCGGTCTTAACTATCCTGTATCTGAAATTTATAGTCAGATTACAATATCCTTTTTAAGAAAATCCTTACTAGTTACGTTTCATTATAATTTGAATGCTAACTCTAGCATGGATTAGCTTGTTGGAAAAGAATCTCATTTTAAGTAGTAGTAGTAGTAGTAATAAGGTTGGGCATTGTTTTTACTTCATGACCTGTTCTAAATCTATCAATTTTGAAGCAATACCCAGCCGGGAAAATCGCTAACAGACTGAGATTTAAATTTGGTATTCATGATGGACTGGCAGAAGTTGGAAATATGGGTCATTGGATTCCGACCCAGTGGCTTAATGGTAACGTGCTGGCCATGGGACCTGAACGTCCTGGGTTATATCCCTGAGGTGGTGGGGTCGTGGGCGTGCACTGCTGAGGAGTCCTATAATAGGTCTAGACAGCTGTCCCAGTACTCCTAAGTTTTTAATGTTCCTCCAGCTGATAACGGTCCATGATGAATACCAACTTGAAAAAATCACTAAATCCCCACAAAACCCCCCAAATTCAATTGATGTATAAAAGTTCCTCGTTATTGTTCTTATAAACCGGTTTTTCGTTGACTCATGTACATTGCTAAAATGGGAAAGCTAAGTTGAATTTTGTGACTATTTGAACTTGTCTCATTCAAGAAACAATATTTTGTTAAAAGGATATTACTTGTCAGATAGTATTCATTCTAATTGTATGAAATATTCCTAATTAGTAACATTTGCATGAACGGTCATGAGGAACGTATAACATAAAACTTGAAATAGTGGAAAATATTTGTAGCTCAGGTTGATGGTCTTGGTTGTATTGTGTTCTCTGAGCTGGCTGGGTTGTTTAATCGTGAAGCCTTCATCATCTTTGTGGACGACATCATCAGTACTAACTTCAGTATGAAGTGAGCTGTCAATATCTCTCAGTGTGTTATTTAGTGGCTTGCTCTGACGATGTGGTCTGTGATTGGTTAATTCGTGTGATTGTTGTGTCATTGAGTGTATAGATCCTTCTGTTGACTATTCCCTCTGCTTGACGTCTGACGTTTCTGTTGTTTATCATTTTTCTTATTGGTTGATAGATTGTGTCTATGTGTATGCATCTATTGATTGCTGATTGACTGAGTGAGTGAGTGAGTGACTGATTGACGTGGATGCCAATGTTGTAGGAATTGTCTGATATTCTTTTTGTTTCCTCTGTCCGTCGGAGATCAGTAGTACATTGTTGGAATTGAATTCATGTCCATAGTTGTTATCCGCGTGGATTGAAATGAGTGATGGAATATTGTGACATTTACTAGTCAATTGGTATTCATGTAGGCGAAGGCAGAGAGCGTGACATTCACGTCAGTCAGCCAGCAATCAATAGATGGATAGATATAGACCCATCCTATCAACCAATGAGAAGAATGATAAACAATGGAAAGGTCAGAGGTCAAGCAGAAGAACAGTGAACAGGAGAATGTATGCACTGAATGATAGCAATCAAATGAAACAACCAATCACAAACCACTTCGTCAGGACAAACTGCTAAATTACTCAGTGATGGAGAGATATTGACAGCTCATTTCATACTAAAGTTAGTGCTAATGATATCGTCTATACAGACAATTGCGGCTTGACGATTCAACAACCCAGCTCAGAGAACACAATACAACCAAGATAATATAAAACTGCATATCTATCTCCACCAGCACTTTTTAACAGTAGCATATTTCGGTGAAAGTGAACAACAAGGTGGACAACAGAATGTTATCACCAGTCGTAAAAAAACTGTGAACCAAGCCGAGTATGGCATGAGAAACATTTAATGTTAAGGTTTAGATGAGTATTGTGAATTATATGAGATAGAGTTTCTAATTATCATTAAATTTCTGAGTTAACCTCTGATTGGCCAATTAAGAGGGTCAGTTAAAAATCCCAACTTAGCCATGGATGCATCGATCAAATAAGTAGACAGTCTGTCTTAGTTATGTACCAGTATGTCGATAATGATTCAATTATGCTTTTTATATGAACTGACGACTTGTTCTTGACAATTTTTTTTATATTATTTATTTACAAAAATCATAGATCAAAGATATGCAGACAACTAGTCCTGATGTTCTAATAGCTGCTACCTTATTAGTATGTGGACATCGTGTCCAAGAAGCAGTTGAATTACTTTTAAGATATGATAAAATTAAAGAAGCATTAATTCTAGCACGTATACGTTTAAATCCATCAGAAAGTTGGAAGTATACAGAGAAATGTATTATACGATTAATTGAACGTTCATGTTCAAATGAAAAATCATTCTATTCTATTATATATAATATTGGAAAAAAAGAATGGTTGAATGCTAGTAATATAATAAATCGTGAAATGAAAATTTCTAACTTATTACTATTACCTGGTAAAGAAATTGATCAACTTTCATGGTGTTGGATTAATATAAGTCTTCTATTGAATACATCACCATTATATTATGATTATTTATCAAATGAATGTCTTCATTTATCTTCAATATGTTTAACAATTGGTTTTCGACTCTTTTCAACTGAACCAATATTTTTTCAACGTTGGTCTGAAGCATTTTCACGTCTTTTATCATCTGAAATGATATCATGTTCAGGTTTAATCAGTAGTTTAATGCTATTAGATATTGGTCAGATAATCTGTTTTCATATGGCTAATTATCATGATGAGTTAAGTATTGAAACTGATCGAATCTACAAAATTCATAATAATAATCATAATAATTGGATGAAATATATCAATCATGATTGTATAAAATGCTTAGATCATTTGATTATAAATCGTCAACCATCTTCAGTATGGGAAATTTGTTTAACTAATTTCTGTGTAGATTTTCTATTATTTTATTTAATTCATAATCATATTTTACCTAGTAAGTTAATCCCGAATAATGATACATTGACATTGTATACTGATCGTTATGAGACTAGTCGTAAATCTTGTGAGTATATAAAACCGAAAGAGACAGCTTATTTAATCAGTCATTTATTTTCAAATTATCAAAAAGTTATTAGTAAATAATTGTAATAGATTAAATTGAAGATTCACTCCGCTTCCCCCTCCCTCTCCCCTCCTATGAATAATTGTTTATATGCATTTCAGAGGTTTGTACACAATAAAAATAAAGTTCTTTGTGAAATATCTTTATTTCTTACTTCATTTATGGGATGCATCATTTTAGTGTTACATATATAAACTAGGTGAATTTGTCTGTAAATTTGTCTCATTAGTATATCTGTTTTGCTTCATTCATAGATATACTTGAGTTTATTGTTTATCATGAATTCTGAGGCGAGTTAACTCCCTAGATGAAACTAACAGGGTACGTTTACTGGATTAACTGACTGCATAGATTAGTATTGGTTTCATGTGGGAAAGAAGACTTAAGTACTTTCAAGTGTGGCTTACATGAAATCAGCTAACGCAGGTCAACCTAGTTAGTGCTTATATACTAGTCTGTGAGCTAGTAGGTGAGACCGAATTTGGATGTGAGAATCGCTACTTGAATTTCGAGTTTTCAAGTCAATAAGAGAAGTATACTTCTTAAGTGTATTGTGTTGTCTGAGCTGGCTGGGTTGTTTAATCGTGAAGCTTTCATCATCTTTGTGGACGACATCATCAGTACTAACTTCAGTATGAAGTGAGCTGTCAATATCTCTCAGTGTGTTATTTAGTGGCTTGCTCTGACGATGTGGTCTGTGATTGGTTAATTCGTGTGATTATTGTGTCATTGAGTGTATAGATCCTTCTGTTGAGTATTCCTCTGCTTGACGTCTGACGTTTCTGTTGTTTATCATTTTTCTTATTGGTTGATAGATTGCGTCTATGTGTATGCATCTATTGATTGCTGATTGACTGAGTGAGTGAGTGAGTGAGTGACTGATTGACGTGGATGCCAATGTTGTAGGAATTGTCTGATATTCTTTTTGTTTCCTCTGTCCGTCGGAGATCAGTAGTACATTGTTGGAATTGAATTCATGTCCATAGTTGTTATCCGCGTGGATTGAAATGAGTGATGGAATATTGTGACATTTACTAGTCAATTGGTATTCATGTAGGCGAAGGGGATTACCATTATGTCTAATGTTGTGTCGACTGCAGTTATTGCGGTTTGTTTTGTAAGTGATATTTGACTTGTCTTCTCTGACTGTTGTTGCATCTTTCGGTCTGTATAATAGCGTGTGGAGGGAATTTGTTGGTTTCTAAGCCACACCAATTTCAAGTGGTCTCGGTCATGTTGTGATGATTTCTGATGTATTTTTTATGTATGGTAGGATGAGGCGTTTGTTGATTTCTGTCGATGACTTTGTAGTTGATGTTGTACGGGATAGGCATCTTTTGATAAAATTTCGCGGGTAGCCGTTTTTCTTTAGGATGGCCATCAAGTAATCTTCATCGTTTCTCCGTGAAGTTTTTGCACTACAGTGTCACCACGTGAGTAATGCAGAAAACAGGGGTGGGGGTAAATCAGTTGACGAGGTTATGAACCTTCATCGATTGAGATGATTGGGACACGTACTTCGTATGCCTAGTCACCGATCGTCTCGTCACACAATGTTGGCCGAAATACTCCTAGGCTGGAAAAAGGCCCGCGGTGGCCAGACTAAAACATGACACCAATGTATGAAGTCTCTGATTGTTGGTTTCAGCCATGTGGGACGATGCAGACTGGGTGGTTGGGGTCCGTGGGACAAGAGGAACCAGTGGTTGGAGACTGACTCTAGGTGATATGGCTCAGAACCGATGTCAGTGTCGCAGATGTATGCATACATTATCGTCATCTTAACGACGCCACACCGGCTCTCGCCACTTTGTCATTCCTCCTTTCTTTCTTTGAGTATTTTGTACTTCTTTTTGCTGCATTCTCTCATCTTCATCCTTCACCTCACTACCTTTCTACTTGATGTAGTGATATGAGGTGTGGCAACTCGGACCGTTACACAGTAATGCCTGGTCCTATGTTGCTATTGATGATGATGACTGCAGTATGTTCTCACTCTTTTGAATAGAGTGTTCATGTAACTGATTTTGTGCGTTGTTGGGTTTTTGCTAACTGTAGTTGAGGATTTTGTCAGTGTGTGTTAGCTTCCTGTACAGGTTTCCGGCATTTGTTCTACTGACTAAAACATCCAGGAATGGTAGTTGGATGTTTGACTCTTTCTCCGTTGTGAATTTGATGTCATTGAAAACGTTGTTGATCAAATTGTGAGTGTTTTCAACATCATCTTTTTTAATGATGACAAAAGTATCGTCTACATAGCGAATCCAGAATTTTGGTTTAATCACAAGTGGAATGATGACTTCTAGTCTCTGCACCACTGTTTCTGCAATTAATCAGAATATCGGCAACCTCATCGGAGTTCCTTTGATCCGTTTTTATATCTTCCCGTTGAATTGAAAGTATGTTGTCAGAAAAAGGTCTGTGAGTTCTATCAAACCTAAACATTTAAGTTTTGTGCGTTCTGAAAGGTTTTTGTCTTCAGTGAGCAGAAGGGACATAGTTTCTTTGGCCATTTAGGATTCAATGGAAGTGTATAGTGCTGTGACATCTAAGGATACCATTAATTCGTCGTTTTCTATGTTAATACTTTTGATCTTTTCTAAGAATTCCTTTGGTGATCTGATCGAATGTTCACATGATTGGACGAGGTGTTTCAGTTTCGTCGAAAGTTTTCTTGATATGTCGTATGTATGTACACTCTCCACCATTTCTGCGCTTCTTAAAATTTAATAACAGCTTTCGTTCTGTTTAGGTAATATATTTGAGGGGAACCCCGTGTGACTGGTCGATAAAAGTTGGACAACTACTGAAAGTCAGGAACTATTATCTGTTAAAACCTGACGTATTTAAGCAGGACTCACTTATAATCTCACTGATTTAACTGAAAACATTTAGACCCTTTCAACTGCAAAAAAATCACAGTTACACACTATCTAGTTGTCCTTAAATACTATTAAGTAGCTAATCAGTAGTCCGTGATTTTCGATGTTGTTCACCAGGCAGTTGTCAATGATGAAAATTGCTTTTCAAACTGACTAAAAATCTTAGACCTCTTCAGTATGCCAAGACAAGAATCTCTGTAATGAAGACTGTTAGAATTCTATTTAAAGTCAGACAGTATAATCCTTAACGTATGCTACATATGGTGTGTGTATGTGTGTTTCTTACCAATTGCATCTCGTCCTTATTGAAGTTGTAAGGAAATATCGGTCTAGGTATATCAACCAATCTATGGTTGGATCCACTATCAAATTTTTATGTGTGCGAAAACCTCTCTATATATCATAGGGAATATGGCCAGTTTTGAAAAAAGACTACTTTCCTTTTAGTTAGTTGTTTAGAAAAATATTTCTTTAATACATCTGTTGTATTTAAAGGTATCCTGGCCAACAATGGACTGGATGGTTTGTCATATTGTCTGTTGTACTCAACATTTCCTGTCTTCAGAAATATCTTGTTCTGTTTTTGTAGATTTTGAAGGTTTACAAGTATTCGATATGCAAAAGCGACTAAATTGGTCTGCTTCACTAAAGATGGCAAGCATTCTCTGTTGTCATCAGGTGATGAATATTTTTCTACTTTAGAGAAAATTCAGAAGGTTGGCTTTTAAAATACTCGTATTTTTGCCTCTTCGGCTTGGATTGTCGTCAGTGGTCGCATGGTAAAAAACTTCATCCATCCAAATCAACATAGGACCAGGCATTACTGCATAACGGTTCGAGTTGCCACACCTCATATCAGTACATCAAGTAACAAGGCAACAAAGTGGAAGATAAACCGAAGAAAATTCAGTCAAAAGGAATATAAAGTACTAAAAGAGAGAGGAAGAATGAGAAAATGGTGAGATTAGGTATAGCGTTAAGATGAGGATAATGTGTGTACACATCTGCGCTGCTGATATCAGCTCTAAGCCATATCATCTAGAGTCAGTCTCTAACCACTGGTTCCTCTTGTCCCGTGGACCCCAACCGGCTAGTCTGCGTTGCCCAACATCTCTCAAACCAACAGTCAACAACTTCATGCATTGATGCCGTGTTTTAATCTGGCCATTCCCAGCCCTTTTCCAGCCTGGACCTGCTTCGGTCAACATTGTGTGACCGGGCAGACAGCAACTAGGCATGCATAACACGTGTCCCAACCATCTTAGTTGATGAAGGTTCACAACTGTGTCAAATGATTTGCCTCTTCTCCCTAAAACTCTACACGTGACTTCTGCGTTACTCACGTGGAGACACCACGGAATACGGCGTATACTATGAAGGCAACGGTGGTCAAATACCTTAAGCCTTTTCATGTCTTCCACCTTCAGTGGCCATGTTTCACAGCCATATAGTAGGACAGGGCGGACTGCTGTGCAGTACACGCAACCGTCACTAGACAATCGGAGATCACGGCGGTGCCATAGATGACATAAGTTGGCGAAAGCCAGCCGAGCCTTTCATATTCGTGCAGAGGTTTCATCGGCCACTGACCAATGCACCATGGCTGATCCTACTTCCCAGGTAAGTGAAGTGGTTGACACACTCAACCATTACACTCTGTGTTGTTAGCCGAGGCACATTTGGAGACCAATCCTGGAGCAACAATTTGCATTAGGGTGGTAAAAAGCTGGAGGAACCACAAGGAGCTTTTTGTTGGTGATACAAATGGGCAATGAAAACGAATGAATAGGAAAACCCAAGTATAGTAGGTTGTAGCTAGGTGACCGTTTTATACTACTAGAAGCGTGTGTGGAGTTTTTACTTCCTAGCTACCTAGAATTATTGTGCTGCGTCCGGACTAAAGAAACCTTTACGTCTAGCACTGGAAAATACGAGGGTAGAGAGGAGTATGCTATTTTTTAGCGTTGACCATTCCTAACTCCTGTTTGCGATACGGAGAAGTACTATCAGCACTGAATGCCGATCATTCACAGGAAATACTTCACTTCTGTCATACTCCGTTCAGCTGCTTGTACCACTGCATCCTTGGGCCGTGGCGGGAATTGATTTCACTATGATGGTTCATCACTGTCTAATAGACCTTCAGTGGGGACAACACTCACCGGGGAGGTAGATACATCCAGCTGACGGGTCCCATACAGTACGAAACGTACGTCCTGAATTCCATCGTTAGCCATGAGATAGACTACAATAGAAT